GGGGGGGCATGTAGGAGGCAGCAGATCAAAGACTATCATTGATGTTTCTATCTTTCTCTCTCCCTCTCCCTCCCTCTCTCTGAAATCAATAGACATATATATATTTTTAAAAAGATGCTAAAAAAATGCTCATCTTTACCCCTCAGTGAGCAGGACCAGGCCTGCTTTACTTATCCCCAGAGATTTTGGTTTTTAATAAAACAATTTTATTGAGATATAATTCACATACGATACAATTCACCGATTTCAAGTATACAACTGAGTGGTTTTTAGTATATTCACAAGGTTATGCAGCCACCATTTCTCTCTAGTTCTAGAACATTTTAGAAAAGAAACTTAGCAGTCACTCCTCCTTCCTCCCATTCNCAGTGACCGTTAGCAGTCACTCCTCCTTCCTCCCATTCCCCCATTCCCAGGTGACCACCAACATACTTTCTATTTCTATAGATTTGTGTATTATGGACATTTCATGTAAATTGAAACATACAATATATGGCCTTTTATGGCTGTCTTCTTTCACTTAGTATAATTTTTTCAAGGTTCATCCATGTTGCAGCATGTATCTGTACTGCATTCCTTTTTTTTAAAAAAAACATTTTTTGACTCCTCAGCTGAGGATATGTTTTTTATTGATTTTAGAGAGAGGGGACGAGAGAGAGGGAAAAACATCAATGTGAGAGAGAAATATCAATCAGTTGCTTCCTGTACACACCCCGACCGGGGATCGAACCTGCAACCTAGATATGTGCCCTGACCCCGAATCGAAACCACAAGCTTTTGGTGTACAGGAGGACACTCCAACCAACCGAGCCACCTGGCCAGGGTGTACTGCATTCCTTTTTATGGCCACATAATATTTCACTTTCTGTTTATCCGTTCATCTGTTGATGGGCACAGGTTATCCATACCCCGGGTTTTGAGGCATCTGAAGCTCTGCATTCTGTCCAGCAGAGGGCGCTGCAGGGTCCCAGCCTCTCCTTCCAGCAAAGGGAAAGGGCTGTCTTGGCTAGATGTTTGCTAGAACCCAGGTCTGGACTTGTGGACCACTAGAGCTGCTGCTGCCGGTGTGTGAGGGGGCGTGTGCGTGCATGTGTGTGTATGTGTGTGTGTGTGTGAGAGAGAGAGAGAGAGATTTTTAAATAAATTATAGAGCCACATTTTAGANCTGTGTGCGTGCGTGCGTGCGTGCGTGTGTGTGTGTGTGTGTGAGAGAGAGAGAGAGAGAGAGAGAGAGAGAGAGAGAGAGAGAGAGATTTTTAAATAAATTATAGAGCCACATTTTAGAAAATAAAGGAAATTGAGGGGAGACACCACCAATAATCCCATTTCCCTGTCTCATGTTAGTTTTTAGATGAAAAAATCTATTGGGAGTGATGCAAATGTTTGTATCTGTTATGATGGTCTCACAGGTGTGTACAGATGTCAAAATTCATCAAATTGCACACTTCAAGTTACAGTTTATTGCACATCAATTATACCTCAATAAAGCTGTAAAAAAATAAAAACAAAAAGTAACATCTAGCTTTTAAATGATAAAACATAGACATTTTCATTATGAAGAATTCAGAAAAGCATAATGATGAAGAGAATGTCTTAAGTTGCCTCCACCTGTTGAACCCCTTGGAAGGCTCCCCTGGGGCCAGCACTCATGACTCATCAGCCTCCAGTTTGCTCAGCCAGGCTCCAGTACCCATCTTGGCTCTGCTGGCCTCACGGGGCCAGACCCAGAGTCCTTCCACCAGAGGGCCCAGCAGCCATTGCATGGGGACCCTGTTGTCCTCACTGAGTCTGCATCTCTCTGTTACTTCCCTGAACAGTGCCTTCTGTTTCTCTGCCTCTACTTCCCTCCTAGTCCAGCCTCTGCCCTTCCACAAACACTAGCTGTTCACTAACGACAC